TAAAAAGTGTTTTGATCAGCTATTATAGTAAAAAACCAATAAGTCAATAAGTTAAAAAGTGTTTGGCTTAAAAAATATTTTTTGAAGTTATTTTGATTGAAAAGCTATAGGCAGATTTTAAAAACCATGTTTTACATACTTATTAAAAAGTGGTTTTTGAAGTTTATGGAAAAACTATTCTGAAAAGTGTTTTTGAGTTTGTCAAAACATTTTTTTTTTGTTTATTAGCTTTTCAAAAAATCAATAAGCCAACACTTTTCAAACTCAATAGTAAGGAATGTTGACTTTACTACAATGAGATATCGGCCGAAATGAAAGTGGAAAGATAGTTTAAGGCAATACATGAAAATAGTTGCTATTTTTTTGTCATGATCTCAGATGCATAATCTTTATTTTTATAACGCTTATAATATAACCATCCAATTCAATATGGTTCAATATATGTAATATATTTTAAATCATATTCAATTGAAACTCTAGAACTCTTCAATTTATTCTACTTAATTGATTGGTTACTCTTCGATTTTCAACTAATTAATCATTACAACTCAAAAAAAATTAACATATAATATTTAATGATGATTATTATCGTATAATTGGTTGATATAGAGTTAGTTATAGTTCATTGAGATATATCAAGTTGTTAAGGCTAAGAAAATGAAATGCGGGGAAAGACTTAAAAACACATTCATATTTTTTTGCTAACTTCTCACAAACATTTTTCCTTTTATAGGTGTTTATATGTTCATCGATTGAAAAAAGATAAATAAACTTTGATTTTTTGCAAGAAGTTATATGTTCATGTAGTACATGAAAATCCTTACTATGGTGTCGTTGAAGAGAAAAAGTGATTATGATTTATTTTATTAGGGTAAATGGCACAAAAAACATTTTTTTTACACAAAAATTCGATTTTGATATCGTGTTTTTTTTGTATCAATTTTGACACTGTGTTTTTCAATTTGTTATAATTCTGACCACTTGACCGGTTAACCAGGTTGCATGCTGATGTGGCATGACGACGTGTCAGTTTTGATGATGTGTCATGCTGACATGTTATGCTGACGTATCAAATTTGAATTTTTTTTCTCATAAAAAACACTAAGGTGCTGTTTGTTTTTTTGAAGTCAAAATGTCTGCAGTCTGCGGACCACATCTGCAAGCCTCTGCGGCAGAAGAGGTGGACCAAATGTCTGCAGTCTGCAATAAGAAGACTGTTTGTTTTTAACGTCTGCGGGCCATTAAAATAAATTGAATTTTTAAACTTAATTTCATGTTATAAACATTAAAAATGTATTTTTAACAAAAAAAATGAAAGAAAAAAAAAACTACACGATGACCATGTTTTTTTTTTTGGTTTAGGTTAAAATGAGGTCTGAAGACCTTTGAAGACAATGGCCCATGTCTGCGCCAGGAAGACCTCGCGCAGACGTTTTCTGATCTACGCACTTCCAAAAAACAAACAATCTGCGAGGGCATATGTCTGCGCGGCGCAGACAAAAGTGGTTGCGCAGATCTTCACACAAAAAACAAACAGCCCCTAAGTTTTCATTTTTTTCGATTTTTAACACTAAGTTTAATTTTTTTCTTTCAATTTTGACACTATGTTTTTTTGTTCCAAATCGAACATCATTTTTTCCAATTTCGTTCAATGTTGAAAATTTTCTATTTGAAACCGTATAAATATTTTTTTAATACATTTAAACCGTATAAATATGTTTTTTTTCATTTAAAAACCATAGTTTTGTATAAATCAAGATATCATATAGGATCGTGTTTTGTAAGATCGAATCGGACCGTAAGATCGCACCAAAAGCATTTTAAAATATAAAAAATACATATACATCCATCAATTAACTATCCGGTTAACAATAAATATTTTAAAACATAAAAAATATATTATTTAATGATAAACAATTCAAAAGTGTTATTCTACGTAGTTAGTCCAAAAAAACTATTTTTGTTTATATATATATATATATATATATATATATATATATATATATATATATATATATATATATATAAAAACGATCTTATGATCTGATCCGTGATCCTACTGAAAAACGATCAAAGTAAGATCGGGATCGATTTATGTATGTGAGATCATAGAGTTGTACGATCGTACGATCAGGATCACAATTTTAACAACTATGGTAGAAAGGAGAAATTATGAACACATATATACTTAATAAATTCATAAATTTTATTTTTCTTTACAGACAAAAATCGAGGAGAAAAAAAGGGTATATCAATACTTTTTTATTGGTAACCTTTGTAATATAGTAGTATGTTTTATATTTTATTTTATTTTAAGTTTTGATAATTCATATAAACATGTTTTCTTATATCTTAACCAACATTATAGATGTTGACTTAATTCATATACATGTGTTCTTTTTATGTTTTAATATTAGACTGTGGATATATAATGTGTTGATACTATTAGATGTTTTATTGATTTTGGTTAAATTTACATGTTGATAACGTTGTAATTATTTCAAATAGGTGATTAAGATATTTTTTTCAAGTTTTATGATTGGAAACTTTATAACTCATAACATGATATTTATATGAGGACATATTCATTATTAGATCATGTATATTTAAACTAATGGTATTAGGTACTTATATGATATGTCAATCCTTTCTACCGATGACTTGTAGACATATGCCTAGTATTTGTAGAATCGAGTAGTTTAGGCATTTGACATTTATTATTATCTATATATGTATTGGTATGGTTGAGCATGGGTGGGTTTAGGTTGATTTTGGGGTAAAATTAAACCCTAACCAAAAAGTTCAGTTTTCATGTTTTGGAAACCATTGGGTTCGGTTTTGTAAAGTCTAACCTAAGTTGTATAAAAAAAAAGAGATGTTTATTGTAAGTTTTAAAATATACACATGTTGGGTCGATTTCAGTTCCATGGATCAGTTTTTGATTCAGATCGGCTTGTAATGTAGAAACCGAACCCAAACCAAATTTTCAATTTTAAAAGATCTAGACGCAAAACCGACGGTTTAGATTTGAGTTCGTTTTCGGTTTTCCGATTCTCAAGTTCGGTTTTGCTCACCCCTTTATATCTTTATATTGGTGTTTATATCTCATTTATACAATTTATTGCTTTTCAATACTAGTTTTAGCATTGGTAGTATTTCCATATCATTTGCTTTCTTCTATCATCTTTGTCCACGTCATCTTTACAGTGGACAACATTCATGTTAGAGATCTTCCATGAAACCAATGTTTGTGACTTTAGCGTTTTGTTAAACATTACGTGGGATAACTTTTAGATTTGAAGTGTTTTATTTAAACTAAACGTTAAAAGTTTGTAGTGTCAAATGAGACATTTTTGTTTAATACATAACATTTTATCAAACGCTAGAAACTAAAAGTTTCCAAACGATCTCGTTCCAAACACACCCTTAATTGAAGATATTGTTAGAACCCATTTTTATACGAACGGTGGATGCGGAAAAAAAATATCTCAAGATTTATCGTGTATAAAATATAAACATGAAGAACACATGATGAGAATTCATAGATAGATAAGAAAAAAGATAGAGAGAAAATGCATAATAACGTGAAAAGAATAAGGGAGAGAAAATCCCCACTTGGTGGGGAGAGATCTCACCAATTTCTCTCTTTAGAATTACATTTTTGAAAGTGCACACTTAAAAATGACCAGCTCTCCATTTATATGGAATGGAGAGAAAATACACCAACAATACAATAAAGGGAAAAATACAACATAACTATCACTCATTATTTGTAGAGTATTTTCATGCTCCAACATTCTCTCCTTAAATGCTTACAAATGATGAGATATACAATAAGTGATACAAGGCTATAATACAGTAATCCAACTAGCACGTGTGGTAATAAAATGAAACATGGGACATATACAGTAAAACCCCGATATTTTCATCCAATTGACACGAAAGTCCCAAACTAATTTTTTTTACACAAAAGCCTGAATTACCGGCATTTATTGACCCGATTGACCTTTTCTCCCGGTGCAGCCGGTTTACTTGGTGAAGTGGCACCAAATGCTTACGTGGACCACTGATTTATTAAATGAGAGGCTTATGTGGAGTTTTCGACCTTACTTAAGCACCATACCGTCAATCCCCATGAACCTTAGCTTTGTATTTTTCAAAGGAAAAGACGAGAATGTCGTCTTCTTCATCTGTTGGAAGCAAGGTTGTGCGAAGGTTCAATCCCCCTCAAAGGACACATTGCGACTGTGGTGACTTATTTGGAAGGTGGACTTCATGGAAGACAGGAAATCCTGGAAGATGATTCATTGGATGCCCAAATTATAGGGTTAGTTGTTAATGTTGAAATTCTTCATCTTTTAGTTTTTTTTTCTTTCTTTAATCTTGGATTATCCAGGATTCGAGTAAAGATTGCAAGCTATTTGATTGGGTGGATCCTCCACTCCCTAATCAGTGGTACAAGGACTTGCTCTTACAATTGCACAATGGGTGGAATGGAGATGTTGTAGAACAAATGGAAGAAGCAGTAGTAGAAGTTGTTCAAGCTCAAGTGCAAGGTGCAGGTGGTGTTGTTCCAGGGTGGTCAATGTTGTGATTTATTTTAGGTTTATGTTTTGGTTTGTATGTTAAGATAATGTAGTGGGATATGCAGTAACTATGTACGATGTTGTTTCTTTTGCAATGTAATGAACATTTTTACTTATGTTGTATTGAATTATGGTGAAATCAAAGTACAACAACTATGAACCACATATGAATAATAAAATTGTCAATAACCAAAGCTAACCTGCACAACCAAACTTGAAATAAAATATGATATTGACCAATTATGACCATTGCTTAATGCCCTTGCTTAATTACCAGTTATTGTTTACAAAATATGAACCAATATAAGTGGATATGTACCACCATTTACAAAATATGAACAAAAAGATGGTATGCAAAATATAAACCAAAAGATGGTTTACAAAATATGAACCAAAAGATGATAACCCATATCCCTAATCTATAACTAATGCCTTATCTTCATACATTCCTATACCAAAAGGGTCAACCACCTTCTTTTTCAGCTTCTGAAGAATGATCCTCTTTGAGGGTCTCCTTGTTCTTTGTTGCATATGATTCCCAAAATGCCCTTGTTGTACTGGAACACCTTCTTCATTTCCTTGAACATTTTCAGATTCCACTTCAACTCCTTCTCCACCTTCATCATTTCCTTGAACATCTTCTGCTTCAACTCCTTCCACTTCATCCCCTTCTCCATCTCCTTCTACATCTTCTTCTTGTCCATCTCCTTCATCTCCTCCATCTTCTTCTTATCCATCTCCTTCATCTCCTTCTCCATCTTCTTCTTCTCCATCTCATTCTCCTTCTTATCCATCTCCAACTCCTTCCACTTCATCTCCTTACCCATATCCTTCTTCTTCTTCTTCTTCTTTATCGCCTTGTCCATCTCCACATCCTTCCACTTCATCTCCTTGTCCATGTCCTTCTTCTTCTTCATTACCCTATCCACCTCCTTCCAGTCCACCTTCAACATTCGCAGCCTAAAACAGAAAAAAAAATAGTAAAAAACATTTAATCATATACATAAACACTAAATGAAATCTTACCACATATCCAAACTCTTCTAAATGAGCTTTTGTAATTCCAAGGCATCTCATAATGTCTACATCAGTATAACATGATTTCCTCAACTCTTTAATTTGTTGTGTAATGTAGTCCATATCTGCCATATCCAACCCATCTCCATCACTCATCACATCTACATCTACCATCTCTTCAGATTTGTATTCTTCATTGACCCTTTTTTGGGGTGGTATTGTATTTGAGGTTTCACCTCTTTCAAACCAGCTATGAAAGTTAACCCCACCTCTGGTTACCCTACCACCTCCTTTATTTCCCCTTCTACCCCCCTCTACCACGTCTTGTCTATTGGTTTAGACAAGGGTCCAATCTTGGCCTGCCTATTTTCTTATTGGGTTTAGGATCTGGTTCAACATTTGGATTTTTACAGCTTTTCTTGTTGTACCCCTTTTGTTGACAGTTTTGACATTGGATAGTTCTGCCCTTTGAGCACACTTGAGAGAACTTGTCATCCCTCTCTGAGACATGCCTTTTCCTTTTCACAATAGGCTTTCCTAGCATCCTCCTCTCTAAGGGGGGTAAGGGCTTAATATAAGTAGCTTTACTCCATAAATTGTTGCCATTAACAGGTAGAATGTTAGAACTATAACTTGAAATGTACATTGCCGTACCAAACCACTTGCTGATAAATGTCTTTGGATCCTGATGAGTTAACATGATAGATGCTTGGGCATGGACACATGGTATCCCTGATACATCCCAAAGTCTACATGCACAACTCCTTTTCTCTATGTTGACTCCATATGATTCAAGACCATTTCTAACTTCAAATTCATTTTTTCCACTAGGGTGTACCCTCCAAAACCTGTCCATCATATATAGCCTTATCTCTTCAAGCATGGTCAGTAGTGGCTTCTTCCTAGCATCAAGTATAACTGCATTGAAGCATTCTGCGATACCATTTTCTACAGCCTCACAGGCTAATCCAATGGAAAAGAAAGCCATGCACCATGTATTTGGCTCCCTTACCATTAGATGTTCATAAGCACCTGGGCTAATCTGTCTAATCTCATCCATGTGATTCTTGAATTCACCCTCTACAGTTGATTTGGCAGCCTTCCAGAATAGATTCCTTGACTGAATTCCACTATATACTTTCCTGAAGTTGGCATAGATATGTCGTGCACACTTTCTATGCTCAACATATGGTAACACCTCCTTTGTTGCCTCAAGAAGACCCTTATGTTGGTCTGAAACTACACACATGCCCCTTCCCGCATCCATTCCAAGGCCAACCTCTAACAACTGAAGGAACCACTTCCAGTTAAACTTATTATCAATGTCAACTACATCCCAAGCTATGGGAAAAACATGATTGTTTGGGTCCCTACCTATGGTTGTTAATAATTGTCCCTTACACTGCCCTTTTAGAAAAGATCCATCAATCCCTACTACCCTTCTACAACCCATCTTCCACCCTTATTTGATTGATTTGAAACATATGTACATCCTTTTGAAAATAGTTGTACCATCACTGTTGTCTTCAACACAAATTTTAATGGTGCTGTCCGGATTGGATCTTAGCAGTTCACCACCATAATCCCACACCCTTGCATAGTGATCACCTAATTTTCCCTCAATCATGGACATTGCCCTACATCTAGCCCTATAACTCCTTACCCATGAAATCTTAGTGTGAAATTTGTGTTGAACTTTTTCTTGGATTTCCTTAGCTTTCAAATTAGGTGTCCTAATAAGTTCTTTAGGGAATTGTCTAGCTAACCATGTTGGTCCCATAAGTTTTCCATTGTTAAAATTCTTGACACATGTATGATGTGGATACATTTTCTTTATTTGGAATGACTTTTTAGTGCTCATCCAAGAGGCTTTAACATAATAAGGAAAACCGAATTTCTCATGATCACTAGCATACACACAGTGTAGTCTAACATTATCACATTTATTAAACCTAATCTGATAACCTTTAGATATGGCATGATTTTTTAAACAGAGTTTAAGTTGTTATGGAGATTCATACCTTTCTCCCTCTTGAGGTTTCATTCTATTCCATTTCACGTTTGGATCATGTGTGGAATATTTAAACTGAGCTTCACTATCATTTTCCTCTTCATCCACAACTTCATCTACATTTTCGTCCTCCTCCTGTTCGTCATCCAAAGGTGCTTCATCATCTTCAACATTCTCGAATAATGGGATTATGAAGTCTTCATCTTCATCGTCAAGCGACAGTGCGTACAAGAACTCATCTCTACATCTCTGTAACACCCCCTCTGGCACGTATCACAATATTGTCCGCTTTGGGCCACTCGGCACGAGGACTTCCCAGGGGGTCACCCATCCCGGTACTACTCCCGCCCGAGCACGCTTAACTGCAGAGTTCTTATGGGATCTGCTACCCTCACGGCTTTAAAACGCGTTGTGATAGGGAAGGTATCCACACCCCTTATAACGAATGCTTAGTTCTCCTTCCCAGCCGATGTGGGATCTGATCTAACCCACTTTCACCCCCCATTATAGGGTTGGACGTCCCTGTCGAACACATCAACCCGTGCCCTGGCTCTGATACCATTTGTAACATCCCCCTCTGGCACGTATCACAATATTGTCCGCTTTGGGCCACTCGGCACGAGGACTTCCCAGGGGGTCACCCATCCTGGTACTACTCCCGCCCGAGCAAGCTTAACTACAGAGTTCTTATGGGATCTGCTACCCTCACGGCTTTAAAACGCGTTGTGATAGGGAAGGTATCCACACCCCTTATAAGGAATGCTTAGTTCTCCTTCCCAGCCGATGTGGGATCTGATCTAACCCACTTAGTTGTAACACCCAAAGTTTCAAAGGCCAAGAAGGGAAAGAAAAGCCCTAATTTAAGGGCCGACTCGGCGAGTCCAAGGAGGGACTCGGCGAGTCCGAGTGGGATCCGAGTCGAGGTGTAAGCGACCAACTCGGCGAGTCGGTCAAGGTGACTCGGCGAGTCTAGTCTGTGCGTGGAAAACCCTAAATTCGGGACTTGGGGCCTATATAAATGTCTTAATCTTCTTCCTAGGGTTCCTTACTGCCTCTTTAGCCCTGGATATAAAACCCTAGCCATCATATCTCCTAGTTGAGCCTTGGAATGTGCATTAAAGCTTGGAAAAGGAAGAAGGAACTTGGAGGAGCAAGAAGGAGCTATAGATCTGGGATTGTGAGTTCATTCTGAGCACTTGGAGGTAATAAACTAGTTCCTGGACCCTTTTTGCACCTAGATCTATGTGTGGTTGTTGGGGCTCTTTTGCCATAATGTTATTATTTTGGGTTAGAAGCCGGATCTGGAGTTGCTACTTCAGATTCAAGTGTTTTAGGGCCTGGAGAAGCATAAAGTATCAGCCATTGAGTCGATTTTGAAGTCCCTTGGCCTTACACCCTAGTTAATGGCGTATCTTGCCTAGATCTCCTTCTCTACACGTAAAGTTTGCAACTTTACGTGTGGAATAGGCTTAGGAAGGGTGGATCTATAGTTTGGAGTCCATGCATGACTCAAAAATCCTCTGCATGTAAGGAGATCTGAAGGGACTCGACGAGTCCTTTGAGTGGACTCGGCGAGTAGCATGAAGTTTTGGAGAAACTCGACGAGTGGGATGAACAACTCGTCGAGTCGTATGAAGATTGCCTTGGACTCGGCGAGTCTGTTCTTGGACTCGGCGAGTCAGGTCGCGAAACCCCAAACCCTTCGAGTTGTGACTCGAATCAGTGAGTTGGGTGGAGACTCAGTGAGTTGAACAGGTCTGGACTCAGAAATCGGTAGACTCGGCGAGTCATGGACTGACTCGGCGAGTCGAGTCGCGAATGAAAGGAATTTGATCATTTTGAACTCGGCGAGTCAGTAGGGTGACTCGGCGAGTAGGGTTGATCTGGAAGGTTGACTTTGACCAGGACTTTGACTTTGGACCAGGGTGGACTTGATTGTCTTTCGGGGGTCAGTTAGACTCAGTGTTGCATTGATATTGGTAGTTCGGGGAGCAAGGGGAGCAGGAGTTCCGTGAGTTGTCGGGAAGCAGCTAGTGAGATCATCAGCAAGTTCAGCCAGTTCAGGTGAGTTTCCCTTTGTGTGAATGGGTCTAAGGCCACAATGCCGACCCATGTAGTTATGAGTAGAAGACCTGGGGGTTATCCCTAGGCACAGTATGCTAGCATTGTTTGCAGTACGAGGTCCAGTAATAGCGGGCGGGCGCCCAAGGAATTGTTTATATATGATAGTTTATACTTGTTGTCTGTGTGATACATGTATGTACCTGGTAGGGAGGTGAGTGTGGGCGAGGTCCCGTATCTCACCAATAGCAGAGTGTGGATGGGGTTCCATATCTCACTAGTAGCAGATTAGGGGCGAGGCCCGAATTAGAATAGGAGTGAGAGTGGGCTAGGCCCGTACCTCACTACCATTAGGAGCATGGATGGGGTTCCATGACTCCTCAGTAGCAGGACATGGGCGAGGCCCAGGAAAGGCGAGGCCTTAGGATAGAACCAGTTGCATGTGTTAGTTATGTGTTATGAAATGTTTATGTGTTATTATTTGTGACGGGCGAGGCCTAAGTAAAACAAATCTGTATCCGAGCGGGGCTCAAAGCCAGGCGGGGCCTGGAGCGGCGGGGTCGTTGTAGCGGGCGAGGCCCGAGGAAGGGGGCGAGGCCCAAGATAGGGGGCGTGGCCCAGTATGTGCAATATGTGGTTATGCATGGTATGTGGTAGGGTGGGGAACTCACTAAGCTTCGTGCTTACGGTTTTTAGTTTTGGTTTCAGGTACTTCCGGTAGCGGAGGAAAGAGCTCGGGGTGATCGCATGGCACACACCATAGATTAGACAGCCTGGGAATGTCTACTCTGATAACGAACATATGTTTTGAAAACTTACACTCATATTATGTTTTGGAATGATGATGTTACTTTAAGTAATGATTTATTAAAGAAATTTTTGGTCTTAAATTTTGGGTCGTTACAATCTCCTACTATGTTTCTTTAGAAGGTCTTCATCTAGTCCCACGTCGATCTTGTCAAAGTCCAACACACCTTCCATCTTCAAGGCTCCAACTCGTATCTCCCTTGGACTCGAATTCGTATCTCCCTCACAGTAAAAACCCTAGAATCGTCGCAGTAGAAAGAGAGGTTTTTCCAACTTGATTAACCCTTCTTCATTTAATGATGTCCTCGTCATCTTCCAAGTAAGTGTTAGTAGCCACATCAACTCGATTACCGGCTATTAAATGAGTTACCGGCAAAAAAGGTCAATTGGGTCAATAAATGCCGGTAATTCGGGCTTTTGTGTCAAAAAAAATAGTTTGGGACTTTTGTGTCAATTGGATGAAAATATCGGGACTTTACTGTATATATCCTACTGAAACATAATGAGAACCAAATGTTGAAATGTCTCTGAAACTCTGAAGTGTCTGTGAAGTCTGAAACTGGCCATAAATCTCTAAACAATGAAGGTCTTCGGCTTCAAAGCACCACCAATGAAGTAGAAAAGTAAGCTCCAAATCTTCAAACTAATCATAAGTGTCATGAATAAGAAGAAGATCACCATGAGTAATTAGAAGATCCAATAAAAGAAACACTTCGGCTTCAAAAAGTCTAAAAACATCTCAAGTTCTCGAATCATAATACACCCAAAATTCTTCAAAGAATAACCATCTAAAAATGTGAAGCATCCACAAAATGAAGTCCGGATAATAAATAATGTGAGTCCAAAGACATGGTCTAGAAATGCCAAAAAATTGATCAAAATATCAAAAATAAGTGTCACGTCACATCGCCAAAATAATCTTTGTCTTCAAAATATCACAAATCCAAACTCGAGAAGTCATAAGATCTGAACCGGATGCAAACACAAAAGAATCATCCTGTGGTAGAGTCCGAAGAATAAATAATCTGAAACGGGAAACATCGCCAAAATAATCTTTGTCTTCAAGTTATGTTGCGGACGAGAGGGGAAGGTTTGAATGGTGTGAAGGTTACGGTAGTGAAGGAAGGAATCTGATTTCGGTAGGAAAGAGGGCAGTCATAGCTGCGGTCCGGGTTGCAGGGTCGGGTCGGCTACGGGCTTGCGAAAAAGAAGCAACTGCGGAATGAGAAGGCGCTGGATGCGGTCCGAGAAGATGACAACAGCTGCGGTCTGAAGGGCAAGGCATTGCGGTCCGAAGGGTAAGGCACTGCGGCCCGAAACTGAAGGCTAATTCGAAGCTGTGGACAGAAAAAAAGAACTTCGGTCTTGGAGGCATAAATAAGGTTGCAGACCAAGGCCTGAGAGGGGCTGCGGGGAGGCTTCTTATGAGACTCCGGTAGACAGTTTTTGGATGTGGTTCGGGGGTCCGAGAAGGGCTGAACAGATGACAAATAATACTATTTTTAATGGAAAAATGATGCCAGAAAGGCCATTTATTCATATTTTAATGAGGAGAATATTTTTTTAAGTATTTTGGGTCAAAAGAGATCTTAGGAAGGCAAAAAGAGAAGTGTGCAGGGGTTTTAAGGGACAAAATGTTGATAGGAAGGGTCAAAGTCACATGGTTTTGTTTTTTTGAGGGAGTGAATAGTGAAGTATTTTTTATCCAAAAAAGTAAAAAAGACATAATGCTTTATAAAAACACAATATTACGTCAAAAACTCTACAAATTAAAGATTCACAACAGCTTATGAGGTGAAATATATGAACATTATACCATTTTATGAAGATCAAAAGAAGATGCTGGAAAAATAATATTCACAGAGAAACTCCATATTCTTGAATAATAAGCCCAAAATGTGTGTCTCATTTCCAATACATAAATAAAATGTCTGGATCAAATCTTCAACTTTTTAAGACCACAAAGATTAATTTCTTCTCCTATTTTTCTTTATTTCTTCAACAAGAAAATAATAAGAACATCAAGAACATAATTTTCAGCAGAAATTTTGAATAAACAACAGCAACAAAATTATTCTTCTAAGCAATAATCAACCCAGAAAAAATAGAAAAGTCATCAAAAAATTCTGGTTTGGAAGCAAAAAATTTTGCAAAAACACAAAAAATCACCAAGATAATCACCGAACGGGAGTCGTTCCCTTGAACTAGTCGATTAAACCTTTAAGGTACGGCTCTGATACCAATTGTTAGAACCCATTTTTATACGAACGGTGGATGTGGAAGAAAAATATCTTGAGATTTAGCGTGTATAAAATATAAACATGAAGAACACATGATGAGAATTCATAGATAGATAAGAAATGAAAGAGAGAAAATGCATAATAACGTGAAAAGAACAAGGGAGAGAAGATTCTCCCATGGTGGGGAGAAATCCCACTAATTTCTCTCTGTAGAATTACATTTTTGAAAGTACACTCTTAAAAATGATCATCTTTCCTTTTATATATGATGGAGAGAAAATACACCAACAATACAATAAATGAAAAAAATACAACGTAATTATCACTCATTATTTGTAGAGCATTTACATGCTCCACAGATATGTTTATCCACGTCTAATTTCCGGTTACCCCATGGCTTCTAGAGGTTTTGTTGTTGTTTAAGATTTGGAAGCAATTTCGTTATTTACATTTTGAAACATCAAATATATTAGAGTAAATTATTGAAATTGTCACTACGACTTGGTCAAATTTGCACGTTTGATACCTTTTTTTTTTTTTTTTGCACTCGGATCGTCCATATGGTTTAATTTTGTTGTATTTTTCGTCCCTTACATCCATAAATTTAGGAACCACTCGTATAATTTTGACAAAACCATATGTATAAAAAACGCAACAAAATCACCACAAGGACGATCCAAGTACAAAAAATAGTTAGTAATCAAACATGCAAATTTGACCAAACCATATAAACGTTTTCAATAATTTACTTAATATCCTACCTAATAAATGAATGTTTTTTTTACCACATATCATCATCTAATTCAACATGTGACATGACATTTTTTTTTAATTTTTTAATTTCATTTAAATCCACTTAGCAAATTGTGATTTTTTTGTTTTGTTATTAAATTATAAAAAAATATATATATAATCTAGAAATATAATAAATAATATAAAGAAACTTAAATATGTTATTAAATTCTCGCGTAATTTATCAATGTATTAAATTTAAATTAACCTTCCTATTTAAAAAACATAATTTTCAGTTAATCCTTTTTGAATTCATAATAATTTGCAGAAACCTTTCAAAAATTGATTCATTCACAGCTAATATTAAAATTCTTTCCAAATTCAGTTTTGTAAATTATTAAAAATTAAATGCTTAACAAAATATATTTAAAAAAACTCGTATATTATACGGACCATATACCTAGTATTATTATTATTATTATTTATCTGTTTTTTTTTTTGCAAAGAAATAGATTTCATTTATTGATATACTGTTTTTTTTTGCGAAGTAATAGATTCCATTTATGGGCTTCAACAACTCTTGGATAATTGGGTTTAGACCCGATAACAATTACACCAACGTCTAACCATCATTTCATTAAAAATAAGGATGAGCATTTGAAGAACCAACCAAAATCGGAACCAGACAGAACCGATCGGACCCTGACCGAAACGATATTCTCGTGGATTTTTAGAATCAGGAACCGGTAGGAACCGGAACCGACAAAAACCAAAATCATATATTGCTATTTCTCGTGGACCGGTTCCAACATTGAAGACACGGCAAGAACCGACGGGTCGGTTCAGTTCCTATTTTCCAATAAGTTTGGTTCCCGGGCCAGTTCAACCAATGCTCATCCCTAAATAAAAGAGTAGAAGACTATGACTAGAAAGAAAAAAAAAAAATCAAACTTACTTTCAACCATTTTGGAATTCATTCACTTATTGAACCCAAACAATACCAATCCCAGTGGGCATATTTTGTAAAACTTTGAACGTAACTCGAATTCACATGGGACCAAGGGCACCATGTGTTCTTTTAATATAATATAAAATAGAATGAAAACCACAAAAGTTTACAAGAATATTTACAAAAAGAGCAAACGGAAGATATGGAATAGAAGAAATGCATCACATACACACCCTTTTTCTTTTTGGCATGTTGTATGCTTTTCAGTTTTTCTTCTCTCCAATAAACTCCACTTTAAGCCCAACAATCCATCTACACACACTGGGCTGGGCTTTTGCCCAGAAACCAGCTCTTGGGCCCTTATTCTCTACCAAATCCCATTATCTATTTGTTTATGATCAAAATCATCAAACCTGCAAAATCAATAATTATCAACACTTGTATATATACATTCTTCTAACAATCTTAAAGTAAATTTTGATAATTTGAAGGTTGATTGAATAAATTGGTTTTATTTTAAGATAGAAAGAATGACATAATAACTTTTGTCGAATAACAAGTTGAAGCCAAGCCAAGGTCCTCTTAAACATTAATAGTATCTTTGTAGATGAATGATGATGTTAATTTGTGGGTCTATATTTCTCTTTTTGGTTGGATGTGTTTGACTATGGACCAACATTTTTGACTTTAGATGCTTGACAGTTCCAACTGCCCTTTCACATTTAATTATTATACCATTTTCTTTAACATATTACTTTAATTTCATATCATCATACCATATCAATTTACATAATAAAATCAAAATTAAAAGATTTTGAAAATGATGGATATTATTAGTTTATAGACAATAATAGAATAGTTAACATATAAATAAATTGTAATTTAATAAATTCTTTTAGAATATAACTATTTGGTGTCATACAATTATATATATTTTTTTATCATATTACTTACGATTTTCTATAAATTTCGATAAAATAATGATAAATAGATGATAATAAAATGCAGACAAAAGTGGGGTTTTCAATCCATCGACACATATTATAATTTCTATTGCTTTTTGGAATAGAATTGCACAGCAAGACGCCATACCTGTTTGTCTGTAGTGAATGACATCATCCCCTGAAAATCACCTTCTCAGCAATACTCATCAATGGCAGCAAGCAATCCGGCGAAAATTTCCGGGCAAAAAGATACGAAAATGTCGAATTAGAAAATCTGAGCGACCGGATTAGCTCAGGCGACAATTCAGCCGGGTGGTACGTATGTGGATGACCATCCACACTGCCTGTCCAATTGACCCGAGTGAGTGTGTACTCGCTAACACCCTTTGGATCCTCCATTGACAAAAGCGTCGGGAAGTAATGCTCCTCCGGGTAACACGAATCAACGTTCAGGCACGGCAGCCTGAACTTCCTCCATAGCTTCCGGTCCTTTATTACCATCAAAGAGTGAGCCCGGGTCAAAATATAGAACTGTGACCCGATCCGGAACCTATCAAACGGAACCTCAGGCAACATGGCGTTTTTGCCTCTGGCAGTGTACCGGTCCCACAGTTGGGGTTCCTCCGATAACACTTCGATGAAACTGAGCCGAGTCGGAAACCGAGTTGGGAACCGAGTCGACTCAGTAGGTGTTCGGAATAGAGTTTTGTATACATAGCGAAAGGAATGCAAAGGGATACAATGTTGGGAGACGAGAACAAAGTAAGCATTTAACGAGTCGTCAAGGATGGCGGTAGCGAGAAGGCGGCGGGCGGCGGAGATGAGAGTCGGAGAAGATCTCTGCGTTTTTTTCGCGGGAATGAATCGATTTTCGAAGACGCCGCCAGGAGACTTGACGTCGGAATCTGGATCGGCATGGATGTATATATTATACAACTTTTGCTGATTCGATTTAGGCGAGTCGAAGAACTTTTCCCACAGAGGAGCAAAGTGGAGATCAGTGTTGGTGAGAAACATGAAAGCGATTTTAGGTTTAGCGTTAGTGGACCCAAGACGGGACACGGATCCCGGTGGGCGAACTGTAGAAAGAACAGCTCGCCGGAAAAGCGCGAGGTCATCGAGTTCGTCGGGGAGAGAGATTATAACGCGTCTAGGAGGAAGGATTCGAGGTGCGAAGATGAACAAAAGAGGTAGGGTAAGTAAGAGAGCGAACAAGAGTACAAATGGGGCGTTGAACATAGTTCAAAATCAGCACTATCTATGCACAGAATCGATGGATTTCGACAGTATCTTGCCGGGAAAATCGATAAGATGTGGTGGTTTGGAGGGAGAAGACAGAAGGATTCATGAATAAAGGAAGATAGAGATGCATTCGTGTAGGGTTTGAATGAAATTGAGAGTGATGACCAACAAGATGATGAAATAGGAAAGGGACAAACAAACGGTGGCTCTATACACCATTTTTCTTCTACTTTGACGGTGCAGGGGAAGGTATCTGTGGGCTTTAATCACGATGCGCCACGTCAATCGCTCCTTGTTTCAACGGTTTGGATCAAAAGATAAAACCCTTTTCTATAAACTTCTGCGATACTTTTGCTTCACTAGTTCACAAATATTCATAAAAAAATATATATATAAGAATAATAAATAAAAATGACTTTTGCATATAATAAACTTTTATATATATATATATATATATATATATATATATATATATATATATATATATATATATATATATATATATATATATATATATATATATACTAGTCGTTTACCCGCGCAAAGCGGCGGACGGCGAATAGTTTTTTTCAGCAATTAATTAGCAGACAATGATTAGTTTCAGCGGAGAAGATTGAAGGTGGGTGATGTGAATTGTTTTTTTTTTTTTTATAATAGTTACCTATCGGTAATTATATTCTCTCGAAAACATATCATATTACAGTAAACATACAATTCATCAGCAAATAGTTTCCTCTATAAAACATGACATTTAAAACACACACACGCAATGCAACGGGCGACTATGAGTTTTAGGCTCCAATTATATTAGTTTTGGCAAATGTAAACCAATTTATGTTCTATGGATAGCCTTTTACGGTAAGTTATTTCTGACTGGCTGTTGTTTCATTTTGGTAAATAATTTTCGAGCGGTGGCTAGTTTCGATGACCGGTCTTTTTTTCTTTACGGTAAATATTACTTTTGTCCAAATTAATTTACTTTTTGAAAGATGTCAAAAACGTAAATTCTGCATTAGATCTAAACCATTTGATTATACGTTTCATTTTCAAAGAATATCAAAAAAATTATGTTAAAAAATGAAATTCATAAATCAGACATACAAAATATCCCTTTTTATATCGACAATGAATTAATTTTTCAAAATTCAAAATTATATTTTTATCTTTTTTTGTAATATTAGAGATAAATTAGCCTTAATAATATTTAGCATAGAAACCATATTCATCGGATATTTTACCAATGATATGGTTAGTATTTAATATGAAAAATAAAGAGTCAAGTATCATGAGATAGTATGCAAGAGATGGTCAAAAAATGAATTGTGAGCATGAATGTATCCCTTCTTATTATGGCAAACAACAACATACACATAGACTTACATGGAATACTTTCTAATCTACAGTTCTCATGTCAAACCTTAGTTCTCACCTTTTGATCTTTCAAACAGTCGATACAAATTCTTCCCTTAATAAAAAAAAGATAATTTCATAATAAAATACTATAATAGGTAAATTTCAGATTAGCTTGAAAAATGGTTTTCACTGGGATTTCATCATATGTAAACACGTCTGGGGTGTGGTATCTCCACCGGTCATTAATGTAAAATTATGTGTTATATACCATGCAGTAAAAAGATGTAAAATATAAAAACAACATGCATCTACTCATTTAGTTATAAGACCAGTCACAACCAATATTGAATGGCTCATGCATCGAATTGTTCTACTTTAAGAAATGCATATACATCATGCGTATATTAAAAATTTAAATATACATACACTTTGTTCTCCCCCGTTATTTTTGCAAATTGTTGATGGAAGGAGATGGCGTTTTGTTCATGTTCCCTGAATATTGATTTTTTGGCTATTAGTTAAATCAAAATATTAACCAACAGTGACATGAGTGTTTTTGTAAACGTGGCTAATATATTAACCTACAAAAAGTAGCATTGATCAATTAAAAGCACATTTATTAACATTAATCACCAAAGTGCAATTTAGAAAACTAGATCGAATGCATGAGATTGTGAGAAAACTGGTGGTGCTTTGAGGAATGGTGTAAGAGTTGTACCACAAATTAAAAATATATATGATGAAAATATGGGAGTTAATAAGTTGATCAGGTCATCTAAATAACTATGCATCAAGAGTGGCTACCCTCGGTAAAGGTGTTCCTTTCAACAACATGAACTATAAATCGGTGTATGAGAGCAAACGATAACAAAAAAAAGGGGCAAAATAGTAAATCTAGCTTGGGCAAGATTATTCATAATCTAGTATCAGCAATGTTTGAGCGGGGCATCCTTCTTGACTAAAGAATAATGATTATCAAGAAAATTACTGAAATGATGCATAAAGTAATCAAAATTCTACAACATACAAAACTAAGATTAAATAAATCAACCAAAAAGCACATTATAGCCTTCAAAAAAAAATAGTTTACCATCCATAACTTTCATCTAAGCAACTTTGTAGATTCTTTATTCAGAATCTGCAATAGAAGAGTATGTTACATATTGTGAAAGAGAAGTTTATTCTGCAATAAAAAAAAAACTCAACATCAAAAAGTTATGATAAAAGATAAAAAAAAATATATTAAGAAATCACAGAACATGATATTACAATCACAACAGAGATAGAAAACCATAAGCCAACATAACTTGTTTACATTACAAAATTCAGTGTTACCTTTCAAATGTTAGAACTCGAGAACAATTTGTTGTTTTTGGATGAGAGGATAAAATATGCAACATTTGAATCATACAAAGGAGATGAGATGAGAGCACAAACACAATCACATTAAAAAATATATACATTATGTGTTTGGTTTTACATCCATGTATACTAACAGCTCCTAGACAAAAAGCTTGATAAAATATGAAGATTTGTGAGCAAGCACCTTTCCAATCACTCAATACATCAATTTCTTAACTTTGGGACTCAAAAGATCAGACCTAGTAAAAAATTATATGCACACAAACAAAAATAAGAACCAAGAAGCCAAAAAGTAACGATTTTAAGGGTTTAAATCGCACCTGCGGTTCGTTCCTATTTGTTCTCAGAGATTTGATGAAGGCGGTGTCTGGGGTTTTTATAGAGGAGAATCGACGACATATAACATATGTTGAAGGCAGCTGAAGCCATGCCTAGTTGAAGTTGGAATAGTGGCGTTTGGTGTTCGTGGGCAGTGCACAGGGAGGTCTTAGAGTTAGAAAACATTGTTTCAACAGCCACCATCTTCGAACCAACAAAAACATGAAACTTTAAGAGGGAGAGGGAGAGGGAGAGAGAGAGAGAGAGAGAGAGAGAGAGAGAGAGAGAGAAAGAGATAGAGAGAGAGAGGGAGCATAGAGAAATTAGAGGATGCAAATACCTAAATTTCTAATTTGTAGGAGATGGGTGGCCGAGATAAGGGGAAAATATAGAGATTTTTCAAATTTCTAATTCATTCTCCTCAATCACGCATGAAATATCTAATTTACATGATAGGGCTGTGAAAATGAGAAGCTCTAATTTCAAAAAAAAAATCAAAATCTGTTTTAGAGTTTAATTGAGCAGGCCCGCCCTTTTTCCAGTGTTGACCTAAGTTACGTTTTAGATTGAAAAGTCAAAAAGATTTGAATGAATCTCCCCATTTTTAGTAAAAAAATCACAGGATATAAAATTCACTATGTATAAACAATAGTACTTAAAGCATTATCAGTTAAACCTCATAAAATTCTAGATTCAAAGAGTATATATAGATAATATTATTATATTAAGGGTTGGTTGTACTTTAAGATTAAAGATTTGAACATCTTAAAAAAAATAATATTATTTTATTGGATCTATTTATATAAATAGTAGGATTTCTTTTATAAGTTAGTAAGATATATATATATATATATATATATATATATATATATATATATATAGAGAGAGAGAGAGAGAGAGAGGTAAGTTCAATTGAGAAAATAAAAAATATTAAGAATGGGGGAATCATTCTCAGCCAATCATTTAATTAGCATATTAGCATAAAATACACGGTGGCAAATTTGTAAATATGATATATTAACCTTCAATCACAGATATCATTTCTTCTAGATCGTTTATCTGTTCTTCATCAACATCATATGTTATTCATTCATCTCGATTGTTCCTCTGTGTTATTCATCAACATCATATGTTCTTCATCAACAACATACTTTCTACTACTTGTTCGCTATTAAAATCACATGTTTTTCATAAAAAAGACATCGACACTTCAACATCAATTATTCATCAAAAATCTTCGTTTATTCATCAAAATGTTGTGATTCGTCATTAAAAACATTTATTTGTACTATTAAGTGTAACTCGTGATTCAATCTTGTCCAGTTTCGTTGACATCAAACAAAATCGTTAAAATAATCCACATTTATCGATGTCACATCATTTAGTGATCACCAATCATCGAAACTTCATCAAATGAACTTTCGCCAATATCAAACAACAGGTAGCAATCGAAAGTTCATCAACATAACCATATATTTGAAGATTTTTTAAAAATCGTTTTTCAAGTTTGAAAAACTTCGTTTTTCATATTTTTTTTTCACAATTTTTGATATAAACCTATTGAGTATTAATCGATTTTGATAGGATTTGATTTGTTTTGTAATTATTGGCTTCAGTTGTGAATTTTTTGCCATAGTTATATAAGTTAATTTATTTGCACGCCAACTATTCGATGAAATGCATAAATTATATCATGTAATATTTACAAGTGAATATGTCTTTATACGAGAATCAATGTATATCTTTTAAAAACACAGAGCAAGTATGTAATTAATATGTGAATAATATAAAAAAAATATATTCACATACGAATACATATAATATACACAAATGAATACAGACAATATTTATAAATGAATACAAGTAATACGTCATTTTAAGGTCCTAAGCAAGTTTGTAATTCTTATGTGAATAACATATAAGAATTATATCCGCATGTAAACATATGTAATATTCACAATATA